ATGCTCCTGAACAATACTTCCTTCTTCTTCTGGCCTCTGCTTAACTTTTTGTCATTGTCTTTCACCACCTGTCTCTTCATGGACTACTCTCTGTGTACAACATTGTGGTTTCTCTGACCTGGCGTGTGTTCCTTCTACCTGGGATATTCTTGGTTATTCTTCAGATCTTGAGTTACAGGTCATGTCTTCTGAGAAAAACGTTCACTAATTCCTTTAAGTCAAGATTGATCTTCCTTTCTATTTCCAATGCATTTTTTTCAAACTCTTAGTTTTGTTCTTTTTGTGCATTTTAATTTTTTAAAAGATTTTATTTATTTCTTTGACACAAAGAGAGAGATCCACAAGTAGGCAGAGCAGCAGGCAGAGAGAGAGGAGGAAGCAGGCTCCCCACCTAGCAGAAAGCCCGATGCGGGGCTCTATCCCAACACCCTGAGATCATGACCTGAGCCGAAGGCAGAGGTTTAACCCACTGAGCCACCCAGGCATCCCTTTTTGTGCATTTTAATAAGCACTGTTTAATTGGTATTCTCTCTCAGATAGAAAACATTTTATCATAATATCACCTAATGTTCCATAATCCAGAGCATAGAGTAAGCATCTAGGAAAGATTTGATGAATGAAAATATAGATGGTACATGATTGCATGAAAAATAGAGATTGTTGGGGCGCCTGGGTGGCTCAGTGGGTTAAAGCCTCTGCCTTCGGCGCAGGTCATGATCCCAGGGTCCTGGGATCAAGCCCCGCATCGGGCTTTCTGCTAGGTGGGGAGTCTGCTTCCTCCTCCTCTCTCTCTCTCTGCCTGCCTCTCTGCCTACTTGTGATCTCTGTCAAATAAATAAATAAAATCTTTAAAAAAAAATAGAGATTGTTATTGGAGCAATATTTCAATTATTGGATTGAGAGCAAATAGAGGCTTTAGGCTTTAGACTTAGAAATGAGGAGAGATCATTTTTTCCACAGAAAGAAAGAAACGAAAAATTGGGATTTGGGGTGAAGGAAGGAAAAAAAGGGAGTTCTCATTAAATGGTTTTGGTTCTGTCAGTAATGATTTGAAGACAATCAGAATGATTTTAAAGAGTTGCTTTTAATAAATCTATAGTAAGCCACTAAAAGTAAATAATTCCTTAGCAACACTAGGATTCTTGTTTAGGATAAATAGCCTGAGTTAATAAATAGCACATCCATTTACTATGATTATATGATTTTCATCATCCTTGCTTAGATGTAGGAACATAGGGGGAAAAGTTCTGGGGTTTTGTAAGGCAGGTGAAGTAGAGGTTCAGGAGGCTAAGAGGTTCGAGGATAATAGGGAAAGCAGTTAGAATGACTGATTAGAAGGTTTGGATTGGATAAGAATTCACAAGGAAGGAGAAGAATAGATTGAGAGAATAGGAGGATGAGTAAGAGGACAAAATGTAGTAAGGAAGGGGAACACAAAAATTGAGGAATTGAAGAGGTAGAAAATGTATAGTGAGAAGCTTATTTATTTATTTATTTATTTAAGATTTATTTATTTATTTGACAGACAGATCACAAGTAGGCAGAGAGGCAGGCAGAGAGAGAGGAAGGGAAGCAGGTTCCCCACTGAGCAGAGAGCCCGATTCGGGGCTCGATCCCAGGACCCTGGGATCATGACCTAAGCCGAAGGCAGAGGCTTTAACCCACTGAGCCACCCAACCACCCCATGAGAAGAGTTTTTGACCCTAGAGAAGATTTTCTAAGTTCAAAATAATAGAATGAATCCTTTTAAATTTTTGAGAGAGATTAACTAGAGACCTATTTTATTTTGAAAAAGGAATGGATGTTTTTCCAAGAACAAATCCTAAAGTTCTTAAAGACAAATTTCACTAGAGTGACATTGTTTTCCTTTGATATTCTTTTTTTATTATAATAAATTTGTCCTTTTTCAATGTATAATTTATGTTTTGGTTGTTTCTGAAGCTTTGTCAAACTTAATTCAGCTACGAAGTCCTCCATGCCTATAGTATCAGATATTGAAGGAGAGACTATGATTGCAGGCCCTTTCAACAATGAATGTGCTTGATAACTTGCTTGAATTATTTCCCACTAGAGTCCACATTTGTAAAATGATAATTTTCTTCACATATTTTAGAGAGAGAAACATGATGCTTGATAACGCCTTCTGTCGTGCCCAGACATTCCAAGCAAAGAGAATATCTGTTCATGTCAAATATTGTTTGCTTTCTTGTCATTTTTGTACTTCTGATATGACTTTTGGTAGATTATAACTTTCTGAGAACAAGGGAATATATATTATTCATGTTGCTTTCTACACAATGCCTTATGTGTATCTGTAGGCAAATAAAATAGCTGGATTTAATTACTTGAAATTCTTTAAGTTATGCAAACATTTATGTGAACAACTACACTAATTTGGAAGGTAATATTAGATGAGCTTGTCCTTCATTGCTCTAGTATTAAAGAAGAAGAATGTATGACTTTTATTCTAATTCTGTAGCTGAATAATGAGATCTCCAAATTTAACATGTGATTAAGCCTTCCTTTCACTATTATCATAATGACATAATATAGTACATTTGTTAACATTTTACAAAGTTGTTTCACATGCACTATTTAAGTTTAAAATATTTGTTTTGATATGAAGTATTTATGAAAGACAAAGTGAATAGAATCCAATTTGAAATAACTCAATTTGAAATAAACCCAATGAGAAAATCAGTCATCTCAGATCTGAGAGGTAAGAGCTTTGCCAAAATGTCACAAAAATTGCAAGTCATTGAACTGAATTCTTTGACATGGAGGTTTCTGTTATATATGTGCATACACAAACACATAATGGTGCATTTCTGGGACCCTGTTTTCATCAGTAGGGTATGAATTCTTTCATTTGTAACATACCAGTTCCTACTATGTCACACAAGTTATTCTGCTCACCGTTCCTCATAAGACACAAACACATATATACAAACATATTTATGTATATGAACAAGTAGAAATTTGTGAAGAAAAATAAGCTCGCAATAATTATTAAAATTAAAGTAGTATATTATTTTATGTCTTTTTAAAGTTCTGGTGCTAAGTGAGCCCAATTTTAAATCATTTCCCCACTCTTAGGCTACAGGCACATTGAACCTTGAATATGAATACATAATAAATCGTTATTTTACATTACTTGCAGAGTCTGTATAATTTGCCTGAGTAGGATCATGGAGTGCAACCTGAAGTGCATGCTCCCAGAGCAAATGTTAAAAGAAGATTATAAGCATAAAACACATGATAACAATGATTATACACAGGTGTAAAGATTAGGACTAAATAACACCGATAAAGCTAGTTCCAGGCTTCTGACCTCTTCCTTGGTTTCTCAAGTATGGTACTGACCTATGTGTGGATATTTCATTTCTAACTTAATAACATAATACACCATGGTAGTTAAAGGTAGATTATTGTAAGAATTTAATACCTGCAATGTCCTAAGTGGTTTCAGTGAGATGAACTCAGCTTCTTAGTTTTTACATCTTAAAGCCAATGAAGCTATTCTGTACTTTGATTATTTGTCCGTATCATAACCACATCCACCCAGGTATTTACAAAGTTTTGTTTTGTTTTGTTTTGTTTTTTAGATGAGGCTCTGAACATTGCTAATAAACCTTCCACATAATCTAGCCAGTCTTCTTTTTTTTAATTTGTTCTCTTTTTCCTTCCTTGCACAGATATTCTCTGAATGACCACTGTGTTTTAACCTGTAGGATCATAGCTACAAACAAAACATGCCAAGTCCTTGTTTTCTTGGAATTTGTATTTCATTGGGGTGGGGAGAGAGACAATAAACAAGACTAGAGAGAAAGAAAGATCAAGAAATCACAGCTGTTTAATTATGGTAGGAAGAATAATAATGCATGAAAATTAGCAACCAAAAATAAGGATTTCAGTGCTTTAAATAGGGTAGTTAACAAAGATCTGTCTAATAGTGCAATATTTAAACAAAGACCTGAGTAAAAGTAGGAATCCAGTAGCTATAATATATAAGGGCAGAGAATTACAAAGGGAGAAAAATCTGAGGCAGGACTGAGAGTACTTGACTTGTTTGAAGACCAGGAGGAAGTGGTATGGCTGGCTAGGAGTAAGTTAGGTAAGGAGGGGTATGTAGAAAAAAAGGCTTATGAGGTAGCAGGGACGAGATCATAAGTGGGGTCTGGTCACAGGAAAGACTTTCTATTCTCTATTTATTGTGAGAGATTTGGAAAGATGTAGGAGGGTTTAGAGAGGGAAGCAATATATCGGGAGTTTCACTCTGACTGTTGTGTGAAGTAATAGAACAGGACTGGTGAGGTAGAAATAAGGAGACTGCTAGGAGTCCATCCCTGGCCATGGTGGTCTGGGAAAGATTGGTCATAGAGGATGTGGTAAGAAAAGGTGATGGTTGTGCCCATGGATAGAATGTGAGTTGTGAGAGACAGAAAAGATGCAAGGGTGGCTCCAGAATACCAAGGTGGCTTGAGCGCCTAGTAAATTCACTGAAATGGAGAGGACTTGGTTTCTCGTTATTGTTTTATGTGGCTCTCTCTTCCCTCCCATCCAGTCTTTGCTGCAAACTAGAACAGACCGATTTGTACTTTGATTTAAACTATTGTATGCTTAGAAGGAAGAATAACAATGATGATGGCAATAAGCAATATTTGATAGCCTTTACAGTTTGCAAAACATTCTAATATCCAGAAATGAATTTTCACTGTGTGGTCTCACTAAGGATTTTTGCACCACTCCTAACTTTCCAAAAAAGAATTAAAGAATCTTTTTTCTGCACCACTCCAAAAAAGAATTAAAGAATCTTTTTTCTGCAACATACTTTAAAATACATAAAGAACAGTTCACATGTACTGAAAACTGTGAACTAAGGAAAGATTAATTCTTGAAATATGTAAAAAGGAAGTGAAGAGAAAGTGAAAATGGACTGAAATGAATGGTATTATTTATCTAACTGTGAATTAATGTATATCCTATAATTTGTCTCTCAGATCCAAGGTTCATTAGTGCCCACCTCATCCCAGAAAGTGACAACCCTGAAGATGACAAAGTATATTTTTTCTTCCGTGAAAATGCGATAGATGGAGAACACACTGGAAAAGCCACTCATGCTAGAATAGGTCAGATATGCAAGGTGAGGTAAAGAAAAAAAGCAATTGAGGAGGGTTTCACTGTCCAATCATGGTTTTATTTCATTTTCTTTTCCACATATGTGCAAGTACAATGAAAAATATGGCTCAAAGTCTTGACTGATCACTACAAATATTTAAATGGCAAAGAATGATTGAAAGCATAGTTGCTCATGAGTGACTCTTCACAGGCAAACATGTATGTAGAGGCTATGACACATTATTTCATACTTACATTAAATGAGCTTTGAAATTTTAAAGAAACAATTTTTTTCATGTTACATAGGAGAACATACTTTTTTGTATTCTCAGATATAGCAAAATTTCCTACACTGTGTAACTTTTGAACAGACTTTTATTGTTGGAATAGCTAAAGCATTAATGTAAGAGAGAAAAGTGTTTAAGCTTGATTTTATAAATTGATTATAGCATCCTATGTACATAGATGTGAACACACAGATGTAATTGTGATGTTCTGAATTTTGAGGTAATGTATTTCCTGTGTGACACAAAATTGTATGATATTACATTATAATGTTAGATATATAGAATAAAAATTGCTCAATAAGTGTTTATGGTTTAATTAGTATCAGTGTGAAGACATGGTAACAGTACCATTCTTTCCCACTACACTGTATAGTGCAGGATATATATACAGTATGAATAAAGCCAACTGCTACTATAAATTCAAGCACCTTTCACCTCAAGAGAATCACAAAGGCAGATCCATTAATGTCTTCAATGGAATTTTCTTTTTTTAAGAAAATGGGAAATTTTTGAAAATCTCTGTTGCGGGGATTGGTTAGCATCTTTCCTTCCTTGGTCATGATCAAATTATTTATCTCTAGCATATTAAGTTGCTGGAAAATTAAAAGTTTTAACAGTCGGAAACATACAAAAATATGTGAAATGTATGAGAATGTTCCCCAAAAAGTATAAATCATATTTAAAAGCACTAATTACAAGAGTTAAAAAAAACTTGATAGTATATAGAATTACATAAGCAAAATATAAATCATTGTTAGGTTTTTGAAGGAACACTTACATTCCTTCAAACATATGCACATAAATATTATTTTAAAAGGCTTTGTGACCAGTAAATATATACTATCATAATAGAATTTATTGCTACACTAAGTAAAAATTTAGTTTCATTATCAATGAAAACGTAAGTGAATTTCTTTTATTAAGAATTATGCAAATACTTTTTCAGTGTGCTGTTTGTAAAGTCAAAATTGTTTCAACTGTTTAACTTATAAAATATTCGATGCTGATATGCTTTTGTTTGGGATCTGTTGTCAGTGTGGGTTACAAGGTATGCCTTTATTCTTCCATTCAGTAAATACTCTTAAACGTATTGTACCATTATGTTCATTGTACGTTGTAAGTCATTCCTTGAATAAAGTTTGAATAGCTTTGACCAACAGCATAATAAGAAAACAGCTACTTGGATCTAGGATAGAATTACTTCTATTTGGGGACATGAGGAAGTTCTACGTCTGTCTCAAAGTATGAAGGGGAGAAATATTTGAAATTATTCATATGCACAGTTCCTAAAACCAGTGTTCTCTCCTTTCAGAATGACTTCGGGGGGCACAGGAGTCTAGTGAATAAGTGGACAACCTTCCTCAAAGCCCGTCTGATTTGCTCAGTGCCGGGACCAAATGGCATCGACACTCATTTTGATGAATTGCGTGAGTCACTGACGATGTTGTATAGAGAGTATCTGTTCAGACTTTGTCATAAGCACCAAAATGCAGCTTTTGCTAATTTTGTTTTCAAACAGAGGATGTCTTCCTAATGAATTCCAAAGATCCCAAGAATCCCATTGTATATGGAGTGTTTACAACGTCCAGGTAAACAACATTTTACTATCTTGTTAACGTAGAAACTTCATGTCCTTCAGGGGCTTTGCGAGTATCCATACATTTTGGAAATACATTTTTGAAAGAACAATGTTGGCTTAACCTCTAAGCTGTTGTAGATTCCTGGATGGCTAAAATAAGTTAGGGTCTAAATAGTTGTTTAAGAAACAATTTTTTTAGCAAAGAATATCATCACTATAAATAGGATGAGAATGTGTCGTGTCCTATCTGAGTCAAATGTAGACTACTCTGAAAAGCAGAAATCTGAATTTTGATCAGAGTTATTGGTGCTGTAAACTGCAGGTGACCAACTTCTTCCTCTCCTCTCCTCTCTCTTCCCCTTCTTCCTCCCTCATGCTCCTCCTATCCTTCCCTCCTCCACCTCTTTCTCCTCACCCTCCTCCTTTCTCCATTACCCATTATCACAAGGCTTATGCTGCCAATCAAGCAGCAATTATCTCCTCACTGTCACAATCAGTATAAAATTTATATTACCTGGAATTGTTAAAATTAAATAGACATTAATCCATTTCTTCTTTTTCCTCGTTACCTAGTACGGTGGTTCTCAAACATCTGTCTGAGCAACCATCAGAGTTGCCCAGAGAGCATGCTAGGCCCTGCCCCCAGAGTTTCTAAATCTGTAGGAGTAGCATGAGGCCTAACTATTTGCTCTTCCATGATGAAAATATTGTCATTAAATTCTCTAAGTATTTACTGAGACTTATTATGTGTTAGGTATGATGCAATATGTAATTGATGTTCCAGAAAAGCAACCAGGCATCTTTCTTCCCTCATGCAGCTTGCACTCTACCAAATATTGTCCGTATGGAAGAGTTTCCAATAATAAACTCTTATAAACACGTGTTTTTCATTTGCTATGATTTATATGTAATTTTCTGTAGTGAAAGATTGGTTAAAAGATAAGCATTCCATATTTTAAGTGTGCACAACTGTTTTATATCTTCATATAAGTACATCTCTCAAGCTGTATTCATATAAGTACAATAAAATGGAAAATTGTGACAGCTCATGGCTGTTTTGGGTACCTGATTTTTGTCAAGCAAAATGATGGGGATAATTGCTATAGTACTCCACTTCGAGTAGGACGTAACAGCTACTAACTTAAAACAATTTTCTGAGTTAGGAAGAGATTGTTTAAAATGCCTTCACACAAATCAGACTGTGTAACTGGCTATAATGCTTTTGGTGATTTGGGAGTTTAAAATAATATAATGTGACACATCATTTGACATTAACTATTCATTTTCTGTACCAGTTTCAGCTTATAAAATGACTTCTTAAACATTCTTGCTTGCTTAAAATTTCTCTGGTTTCAGTAATTATGCTTGAGGTTTAACATATTACAAAGTTTATATTTGTATTTCTATTTGATATCAAAATTACATATTACTTTGTAGAAGATCATGTATATGGGTTTTTCCACCAAAGTTTATGTATATCTTCATATCATATATTATCTATACATGATATAAATGTGTACTATCAGTACTAATGATGGTTTCGTCTATGCCTTCTATTTTTGAGCAATCATAATTTGTTCTCTTGTGTATTGTTAAAATACACAAGATCTTTTTCAGTTGAAAAAGATCCCAAGTATTATTTGGATTGCACTTATGTTTAAGTCTTGATAGTTGATACCTGATATTTAAGAATTTAGAACAACTTAAAAACAGTTGTCTTGTCGCTGTATAAGGATGAAAATCTGTTGTTGTTTTTTCTGTCTCCCTTTTTTAGTAACATCTTCAAAGGGTCAGCTGTGTGTATGTACAGCATGAGTGATGTGAGAAGGGTGTTCCTTGGTCCATATGCTCACAGGGATGGTCCCAACTATCAGTGGGTGCCTTATCAAGGAAGAGTCCCCTACCCACGACCAGGAACTGTAAGTGGCCTAGGTGTTTTATTTATTTATTTATTTATTTATTTATTTATTTATTTATTTATTTTTAGTTATCTCTATACCCAATGCGGGTCTTGAACTCACAACCCCGAGATTAAGAGTTGCATACCCTCCAAATGAGCCAGCCAGGTGCCCTCCACCTTTTTTTTTTTTTAATTGTTTTTTATTCATTTATTGCCTAGGTGTTTAAAATACCAAAGGAATAAATGTATGCTGAAGGTTAAGAAAAAGCAGATACAAACATGTATTAACTATAGATAATGTAAAACAAAGGTGCAAAGACTATAAACAATGGCAAAGCAAGGATTTTTTATGATATTTGGAATTTACATTTAAAAACTTGTTTTTTACAACATCAGTGGTTAAGTTCAGTGTTTACCAGTTATTAATAACCAAATTTTTGAGAAGTAGAAACTGAGTAGGTAGCCTTATTTATTATCTTTTCTGAAGATGGCCTTCATGGAGAGTGGAAACAATTAGGATAATCTGAACTTGTTCTTCCTAGTTATAATGAAGGCTTCAAGGATTGCCCATTAAATAGGAGGAAGAAAAGTTTTAAGTCAATATTATTTTCCCATGGGAATGGGACACATCCCTCAAGTAGGTAAAGAAGATATTCAAGAAAATCTTATAGAGAGAGCAGGGCCTACATATTTTAACAGACACTGTCTCCTCTTGCTGACCTTTCTCCTTTTTCCCTCCAGCAACCCTGGGGCACATTCAGGCTTAAAAAAAAAGAAAAGAAAAGAAAAGAAAAGTGGAGGGAACTCAAAATTAAACCAGCTTTGAATCTGCAATTTAAAGTAGGGAGAAAAAAACAAAACAAAACAAAAAAACCCCAAAGGCTTCAATATTGCAGAAAATGAGTGAAGTTATCAATGATGGCAGAGGCCATAGTATACGTGGACTGAGCATCTGGTTCAGTGCAACATTTCTAATCCTAAGAATCTCTAAGGAAATAACTTCATGTGATGAAAAACTTATATTTGAACTTTAGCCATGACTTTAATTTTATTTCAGTTTTGTTCCGTTAAATTCAAGTAATTTATATTTTATATATTTTATTAAATGTGAGGCTTTTAATCTTGTTTTCTCTATTTATAAACTTCTTTATGAACAAATTGAAAATTTTGCATTTCATAGATATTAGTTCTAGCTGATGATTCTTGTAGATAAAAGAAACCTACAGAGGCTTTCAGAAGAATGAACAAACAAAACAAGATGAAATATTGATTATATGAAATCAAATGGGTTTTATAGAAATCACAAGATATATACTCCATTTATTAATGGCAAACTGCTTTTACTTTTTTGGTGATGGCTGTTTATATCTCTGTGGTTCATTTATGCGAGTGTATTTTCAGTATAACCTGACTTTCTAGTTTCGCTTTAAATTCGGTGGAATTTCTTCACTGTGCTGGATATTGTACTGCTATTAGAGATACAAAGGTTTTGATCTGAATACATATACAGTGCATTTGCAGTTAATGATAGACATTAGAAATTATTGTGTGTCAGACCCTATTCTAAGAGATTTATATTTATATATATATTATATTCAATAGCCCAGCTGTTGCTATCATTTCCTTTTCACAGATGGGGACTCTGAGGCTAGGAGAGGAACCAGGATTCAGGTCAGGCAGTTTGGTTCTAGAGCCCGTGTTCTCACTCATTCCTCACAGAGAGTTGTTAAAACATGGGACATTAAGTCAGCAGTATGCACCGATTGTTAAAGACAGAAGCAGAGAGTAATGCCTAATCTAGGAATTAGAGAAGGGCTGCCAGAAGGACATAACACCTAACTCCGTGAATAAAATTCACTTGAACGAGTTCATTAATTCAAAAAAGTGGCATCTGAGAGTAGTCATTTTGTCAACACTAGTGGAGAAAAACATACTCAGTGAAACATATTAAATAAGTAATTTTATAATTTACTTTAAAATTCCTTAAATCCTTTAACTGTTGTATTAGTGCATTATTATGGTGTGTGTCTCCCTCTATATACAACACACATACATATTCAGAGATAGATAGATACTCTTCCCATTTCAAAACAAGTTTATTTATTTCATTTTCCATGAATTATTAATGACCTGTATCAAGGTAATGGCAAAGACGATTGATTTCTCCTTCTAATAAGTCTCTTGTAAAATCAAGAACTTCTCTTAATTACAGTTCATTTCCCAGTGAACTCTTACATTAAATGGCAAAAAGTTATGTAGCTATAAGACAAAATGTAAGAGATTAGAGATATTGTACATTGAATGCTTATACCACATAATTAAATGCAGCGAAAAGAGACACAGTGAAATCTGAATTTTCTCATTTTTGTCTTATTGCCTTATGGGGAGTATTTATATCCAGAGCTGATGTTATGCCAGCGTAGCACGGGGCATCCTTTCTGCTTCTCTGTAGCCGTCATCGCTTCAGCTTGGTCCACTCTTGATTAGCCAGTCACAGGGCCATGGAGATTGTTAAACACTACGAATAACACATTTCCTTATCCTTAAAATTAATTATTAATGAGATAGTATTGGTACTTTTTGTGGTGCTTTTTCAGGGTTATGTTAGAAACAAAGCAATAAAGAATAGTGTATACTGTCCTTTAGTTTGAAAAGAGCATTTGTATTTTAGAGTAATGTCACAGGGGAAAAAAAAATGTATCCAAGAAAATTCTGAGATTCTCTAATCTGATTATTAATTGGATTTAGTTGTCACATATTCCATTTCTTATTCCAAATACTTTACCATACTGGTAAAATTTATTGTGTTGCCACTAACAGAGGCATCAGATTCCTGTACATTGAATTCATCAGATGTGTTTGTAGTTTTAGGTGAGAAATGGTGATGTAACTAAATTCCACTGAAATTTCAGAGATGTTTAGGAAATGTATGCTATATATTACATCTACTAATATTAGTAACATTATGTTTTAGTTTATCAGAATTTAATTTTAAATTCTAATTTTAAAGAAATACTGACAGGTTTAGATTTAGTTTATGATCATTGAGATTATAAATTATTGTATAATTTATAATTCTATTTACTGTATTTTAATCAAAAGATATTCTCTTTCTCTTAACAGTGTCCCAGTAAAACATTTGGTGGATTTGACTCTACAAAAGACCTTCCTGATGATGTTATAACATTCGCAAGAAGTCATCCAGCTATGTACAATCCAGTGTTTCCTATTAATAACCGCCCGATAATGATCAAAACAGATGTAAATTATCAGTTTACACAAATTGTAGTTGATCGAGTGGATGCAGAAGATGGCCAATATGATGTTATGTTTATTGGAACAGGTAAATGTTTTAATTTTAGCTCTGAATTTCCTGCCAGAACATTGTTTAACTAACTGAGTGTGCTAAGAACTGAAGGAAGTTTTTATAGTCACTGTCAGGATAGAGTTAACTTCCAATAAACAACTAAAAAACCTGAACATCTACCATGACAGGGTGTTACTAAAAAAGTAACAAGCTGATGTATATTGATTTAAGCTAAATCTCCTTTTCAATCAAAAGCTGATAAATGCAGTCAGTAAAGCTAATGATTAGGTAGACAATCAATGTCTATAACTGAATCCTAACTCTTTTCTAGCCATTGACTTTTTAGAACCAATTTGTATTGGTCAAACCATGGTAATATTCCCAAGACATTCAATAATGTTTCTGGACTATATTGATGCAAATTATCTGAACTTTAAAATTATCACAGGGTGCAAATCTTCTGGCAAATAAATATGGGCTAGTGTTTTTGCCGTACAATGAGAGAAAACAAAACAAAACAGAACTTCATCAGGGGAACAACAAAATGGACTTAAAGAATCATCAGATACAGTTTCATTCCATTTCTGTAGAAATGTAACAACAGATTTCTACTAACTCCATGATTACCAACAAACATTTTAACAGGCATATTTTCAGAAGGAATCCCATTGCTATTGTATTTTCCCCCTGCTCTCTTCATTAATACTGTTTTGAAAGCACCGTTCCAAAACTGGAACTTGCTAGTTAGGGTCAGATTCCAGGGCAATAAATTCCTAGTCTCCATTAGCTTTGTTAACTGACATAAATCAATGAGAAGCAGAGTGACTGCTCTGCTGAAACCTTGTATAATAGCATGTATTTTCTCTTGGTGAGAAACAGAAAAAAAAACTGAATTAACTACAGGGGAATGGTCATTGTGTGATAAGTGCTTTAAAGGTTTAAAGTTTTATAATGAAATTGTGAACTACTTGTTATCAGATGTAATGGTGTCAGATTCTTAGCAACACGGTGCAGTCTACTTTTATAAGGGAGAAAATTTATCAAATAAAAGAGTCCCATTGAGACTCAGTTTGATAAAAATTAGTGAATCAAGTATCAACTGCTGACCATATAAACCTTTAGAAATTATGAGATGATAGGATTTGTATTCAGTTAATGTCAAAATGTAATTAGATCTATCTACAGAGTAATTAAGTTTATTCAGTAATGTCACACTTACCTCTTTTTTCACCTCTTGCCCAAACATGTTGAGAAGTCCCTCACTCATTGTGCAACAAAGGCTTGCTTCCGGGTATTTGACCAAAGAAATTCAGTCATGAGTTTTTCATTCCTCTTGGACACAAGCTGTCTTTAAAGGAACCAGTTTCATGAGTATGTTGAATGTCTGAAGATGTGGATGGCTATCGGTCAGCATAGACCAGGGTCATCTGTCAGCAAAGTAAATTGATTATAGTAATTTTATCTTTTAACTGAATTGCACATCACAGTATATTGATCCTAGTTAAGTAATCTGATTCAATTTGTGTGAAATTGTTTGAAATACTACTCGGTAAAACTAGATCTGGAACACAGATAAAGTTATGTTTGGATACTGGAAACCCATCAGAGGCACTGAGTAGATTAACCCAATTTACCTTTAATCTTTGGTGTCATGAGTAGTCTAAAGTCCTATAAACATAGAAGTAACCTTTTAACAGAGGGCATTTTTTTTTTCACTTTACAAGGGACACGCTAGCAAATTTTCCTTCTTTTTTTCACTAGCAACTTATCTTGATCTCACAAAACATATCATATTGATCCCCTGAAAATGGTTATCAGTGGTTACTCAATGAATACATTAAATTATTTTTCTGATGTATGATTCTCTTTTCAAATAATGATTCAGTTACACTGGACTAAAATGAGCCAGCTGAAGCTAAAAATAATTGATCAGCTGATCAGAACTGGAATGTTGAAACGTTAAGGGTCCATTTTTTTTTAATTTTAATAAGTCCTGTTCTTTATTCTATCAAGGAATAGGAACATACCAGTAAATATTGGAAAAATAATATATCCCCTTAACACAACTTAGAGTAAAAGCAGCAGCTCTTTTCCTTAAAACATTTTGTCTCTTCTCGCAGTGAGAATTAGGGTAAACAATGCTTTAAATCCCTATACAGTGTTTCCAATTTATTATTTATGCCTGAATTTTACATTTCTTTAGTACTCTAAAACTGATTATTCAAGACGTTAATCAAACCAGTTTGTTAGCCAAACCTGCTTAACCGTTATTGAAAAACCACCGGAAAAAGTAATCCAAGGTGTTTATTTTGGGAAATCAAGTTATTGTCATTCATCACTTAATGGTCATTGAGCTGTCTTTAGGGGCCTGTAAGTACTAAAGGCTTCCAGGGGACAGGAAGATGAGCAGCAAGGCTCGGAAGCTCCAACTACTGTTGCTTGACAACATTCCTTGCATTTTGCAACTGCATTAAGTCTTCACAAGGAGTCCCCGCTTTCACAACAAACCTGTCATATCAAAGTAGGATTATCTTTTTTTTTTCTTTCTGAGATACCTGATAATGGAGATTAAAATATTTTTTAAACACAATTCAACCTAGTGATTATTACATATATTTTTTTTAATTTTGCAAGTTCAGAATAAAGCCATCTTCCATGCTTCATATATTTCTAAAAATTCAATTTTTTTTATTCCACAGCTATGTTTGTAGTTTATCTAGTTGCATGAAATGCATTTGAATATATACTTTGCTACTGCTATACCAAAAAAAAAAAAATAAAAGGAAGTCTGGGGTCAAATACCAATTCCATTTATTAATGCTATCCTTTGTTCAGATCTATTTAAATTGTGTTCTCCCCCTCTACTCTCTTTCAAAGATGTTGGGACTGTTCTTAAAGTAGTTTCAATTCCTAAGGAGACTTGGCATGATTTAGAAGAAGTTCTGTTGGAAGAAATGACAGTTTTTCGGGTGAGTGCTGCTTAATTTCAAGTGTCAACAAGTTCACTTGTATGTCTTTCCCCCAGGACAGCTGCACACTGAACTTGGTATGGACAAGGAGTCTAGCATACCCTTCTAATTAGCTTGTCAATTAGAAAGCCAGACACTAGTCAAAATAAACCTTGAAACTTTCAATGCTAGTTAAATCTAAAAATGTAAAGAAATATATTCTTGGCTCATATTTTGTTTTCTCAATAATAAAATATATGATTTACATTTTATATTTATATAAGTTACCTCGATGAATAAACTCATGTTGCTCCCCACCCCCAAATCTCCCCTCTCATGCATTATGATATAACTGGAATGAGAGGCAACGTCCATGAACGTATTAAAGGAATGATATCAGAATGACAGGGAAATGAAGACATTTCAGTCATTTTTTGGCTTATTCATGAATTGTTTTATTATATTTTCTTAAATCATTTGTTATCCCCCAAAATTGAGGTTTTTATATCACTGGTGCCAAATAATGTTATGGGTTCCTAGTCTACACACTTAAGAAATATATGGATATTTGTTCCTTTGTCCAGAATCACAGAGGGCCCAGGTAAATTCATATGGTATTGGGGATAGAGGCAGCAGGATATGGGTTGAAGTGAGAGAGGAGAACCAAAGTATACATATACTACACATATACTACATATACTATATACACTACACATGTCTGTACACATATACTACAATGTCTGTGTTTCTTTTAGATAGCTAGCTAATAGGAAGAGTTTCAATTGAAATACACCTTGATATAAATTATTTAGGAGATATGACAGGGAAATAGTCCCCATAAAAGGTGTTGCTTCAGTTTTTATTAAAAGAGTAGTGCAAACATATGAAGCATTTATAACAGTAGAATAAACTGGAATTAGAAGAATAGGCAGAAAGAAAGAAAACATTGGATCTAATCTCACAACTCAGAATTATCTCATTTTAGTCCCCAGGTGTCCCACATACTGTATCTGTAAAACAAAGCTGCTGGATTAAATTTTTCAGTTGATTAAATATTTTAATTGGGAGCAAAGACTTCCTAAGACTTTTCTTAGCCCCATATTTCTAGACAATTTTTCTTTTAACCCAGTTAGGTTCTTGCTTACTATTCAAGAATATTTTGAAGAAAAAATGAAGTAGAAAATGGCAAGCTCGTAATATATACTCATACAATTAAAATTATGATTGGCACTGAAACAGATAACTGGTCAATCAGGACATAGGTATTTTGTGATAACAACTAAAACAGTGTTCTGGTGGAAAGAGTTTAGGCTCTTCACTCACATCTAAATAGCATTTTTTTGGAATACTTATATGATCTCTTTGAGCTTCCCCATCAGTGAAACAGCAAGTGTAATACCTACTTCAAGGAAGCTAGAAAAATTAGACATTTACATAAAACATCCAGGACAGTGTCAGGTACTATACTCAAATTTTATTAATACAGTTTTATTGTTTTAGCTTAGCTACACTGAAAGTAAGCCGCATTTCCAGTGGAGTTTTCTGTTAACCCTTGGTTTAAGTCTCCAAAAGCATAAAAATCATCATAATTCTATTCTGATTTTTTTAGAATCATGTACTTTGGCCTTATTTTACGTCTAGTATAGAGTAATAACTAATCACTGTTGTTCACCAAGTCCCATTTCAGTATTTACACATTGATACTTTAGCCAACAAATTCAAAAATACAACTATCCAAAAGGACAGTGTTAACAATATAGAGTCCTTCTAGATTTAGCAAACACATCATGGACACTGAGGGGTGAAAAAGTGAATTGCTGTCTTTGTTCATTGTTGTCTCCACAGCCTAAAAGTTTTTCATCCAACATCTATTAAATGAATAAAGGAATCAGTATTGATGAAAAATTGAAATATGAGAAATTAAAGAGTTTATGGTCTTCCTCAGGAAGGCCATACTTAAAGTGAGGTGCTAGAATATGTAGAAAACAAACTGGGAATAGCAACAAGTTATCCTGCTGATTATATCCCATAGTAATCTCTAGTGGAAAGAAAAAAAATTACCAACTCTATTTAGAAATTTATGTTCCTATCACTGTTACAAGTGAAGTTACAGGAGATATTGTGAAATATTATAACTTAAAAATGTCTTATTTATATCCAGACTCTCTTACTTTTATATTTGTCCTGTTACTGTTGTATATTTCCCTTCAGTTGTTTATATTTAATTCCTTGTGTCTCTAGGATTTTAAGTTTATCGTTCACACCTTAGCCATGTTCTTTAGTACATTAATAAAAATTCTAGTTTAAAAAGATATGAATTTAAGGTAATCTAGCAAATGACAACAAAATCTTGAGAGGTTGAAAGCCAACAATCTCACAAGCAAAATATTTAATATCTATTAGATTTTGTTAATATTTTGCAGTTTCCAGAGAAATACACAACTGAATTAAGCCTATGATAACTATTGGAATGACATTTTTGTGTTTTTTAAGATATCATGAGAAAGGTTATTGATCATTCTCCTACAATTAAGTACAAAGAGGTGATATTGTGCTGGTAGACAAGTAGGGTTTTTTTTTTTGTGAATTTATACTTTTATAAAAAGATAGTTTGCAACCTGGGACACATCTCCTTCCATAGATAAATGTTCCAGTTCTCTCCCATATTCTCTGTTATGCATTATTGTCATTATTATTTCTCTGGCACTGAAGTAGACAAAACATATTTGGGCAGAGTTTAGAGAAATATTTACTTTTAACATTCTATTCTATCAGGCAGAGTTCATACATATATTGTGGTCTAGCAATTGGAATATTTCACTGTCAAACTTTGTTTAATTTTGTAGTGGGAGGGAAAAAAACACAACACATTAAAGCGATTGCTATGTACAGTGAAACAAGCAGAGAAATGTTACAGTTTCTGTATTTCTATTTGAACCCTGCATGTCATTCCATTTAACATAAAATAAAATTAAAAAGTGTTAACCTGAGCATAACAGTATTTTGACAATATAAATAGACAAGGAACAGATTTAGAGTCATAGTAGTATCTGATACTCTTGGAGTTTAATGTCAACCAACAAGTTAATTTTACCAAAATATCATCTCCAGGAGACCATGTTCAGTACGTGTCCTTGCTAGGCTGAATAAACCAAACTTCATATAAAAGCCTGAATTAAAGCCAGTACTATGTCCATTGCCATCTTGAGGTTGGTTTTAGGAAAACACCCTGGCTAATCACAGAACATTCCATTGGTTTCAGTTACATCCAAGAGACTTTTTTTATTCTGGGTGAAATCAAATCCCAATCAGAGTATAGAAAGAAAAATATTCCTCAGTAACAGAAATTTCCATTTTAGAATAAAATTTTAATAGGTAATAAAATGTGAAATAAAATTGGCATTGGTATAGGAAATGATTTTCAATTGCCATTACATATTCAAAATGGTATTGAAATGGTACTGAAGTACCAAGACACAAACCTAATTCCACGTATTGTAATCGTAAGTCTGTATTTGGATCATATTTACTAGTGATTCTGAACAACTTAATTAAAGTCAGTTGAGCCTCAGTTTCTTAATTCCTTAAATTTTTAAAGTTTTTTACAAATTAATTGTACTAGTAAGTTAATATTAGTAGTAAGGTATTATTACCTTACGATGGGGTCTTCTTTCCAGTCCAAGGAAAATTTTACTTTTGAGACAGTAGAGTGTTACATCAAGTTGCCGTGCATTTAGTACAATGGATTTTATTTATAGTCCTATTGACTGCAAAGGATGGCAAGTCAGTTACATTGATAACGCATGCATTTTAAACTCAATTTATGCAATATTCCGCGAACAGCTGAGCTAACAAATGAAAGAGTTTAATTTTCATTCAAATGTAAAACAGAACTGATGCTTTCCAAAACCTAGTCTCTTAACTCATTCTAAAGGAGCGCCCGCGTGCTTTAGCATCCAGGGAGTTATGTCAGATTCTCCTGGGATCAGCAGGTTGAAAAGCTCTGCAAGCACGAAAGTTTAATAAGGACTGGATTAAAATATCTGAAAAAAAAATGGTAAATTAGAGTCATAGAAAATCTTGAAAAGATGCTAAGTTTTTAATTTCATTTTTACTTGAACACCAATTAACTTTGCAATTGAAACCAGTTTCATGAAAAAATGCTTATGAAGCTACATCTGTTTTAAATGGAAGTTGTATTCACCACCAGCTATTTCTCAGAAAGAAATATAGCTTATTTAAATGGATGTCATCTTAATATATTGTCTATTAAAATTCAACGGCCGGCAGCAAATAGCACATCCTATTCCAAACTGCTACTAATTTCCTGGTCCAAAAAATAAATAATTTTCTTTTAATTAAGACATTCTAGGATCTTAATTTAAGAATGTTGAAATCAGGGGCACCTGGGTGGCTCTCTCCATTAAGCTTCTGCCTTCAGCCCAGGTCTTGATCCCAGGATCCTATTGCTTGTCCCTCTGCCTCTTGACCCTCCCCCTGCTTGTGAACTCTCTTTCTCTCTCTCTCTGACAAATAAATAAATAAAATCTAAAAAAAAAAAAAAAAAAAAGAGTTCCAAGGCATAATGAAATTTAATAGAGGAAGCAGTCAAAAGAAATGAGTAGTCAGTCATGCCATATAAAACAAAGAAGCCCAGTAATAATAAATATAGAATAAAAGTGTTCATTCACCAGTATAGTTCATTAATGATTTCTGCTTCTGAGATTCATGGGCCACCTCTCTAGGGGAGGGGCTAGCCTCAGTGGGCTGAGGAATAAATGGCATTGAATGGGATATGAACAAGTAAAGACAGTGAGTATAGAATCCTCAGATTATTTTCAAAGGAATTTCAGCTGAACTGAAAGATTAAGGAAAGATCTTTTTAAAAGATGACTGCCTTTATCTCAGACAAATTAAGAGGAAGGAACAGAATGCAATGGGGAAAGTGGAAGAGATAGGAGAAGAAAGGAAAAATTGGCAGAACATTCATTTATCTTTCATTCATTCAATTCATTTAACAGATTTTTTTGAGAATTTATAAATACCAGAAACAATCCCAGGTGCTAGGAATATAGCAGTGACTGAATAGCCAAACATCCCTTTCCTAAATTAGAGAAAGAGAGAGAGAGTGTGTGTGTGTGTGTGTGTGTGTGTGTGTGTGCGCGCGCGTGGTGGGGTCTGGGGGGGGTGACTTATGGGGACAAACAGGAAAGAAAAAAATATGAGATGCCTGTGCTGCCCCTCCTTACATCCTATCAGCCTCACTGTATGCCCCAGGAATTCTCTGACAGCAGGCAAAAGGGCAGGAGTTCCAGCTGGAGGTGTGGGAGATTTAACACTCCTGTGGGCATCCAGTGAATAATGGAATGAATAAATACTTTTCTTGGTGTAAACCTCAGAGAACAATTTTGAGAGTCACTGTCTACTCTCTTCAGATTTTCTCTCATGGTGACTTCCATAACAAATTATTATTTTTTTTCTTTACTTTTTCTCCTTCCTGTCACTCCTTCATTCCTTACTCCTGTTCCCTACCTGCAGATAAGAACTTCCCTCAGACACTGCTTTGGGGTATAAGGGGAAACTCACAAGACACAAGATAAATGTTATATTTATATCATATATATGTTATTATATATATTATATATACCCATTAATACAATATGTATGTGTGTATTTCCAGGTAGTGATAAGCACTAGAAAGGAAAGCTAAAGCAAGTAAAAGATATGTGGGTTGTGTATGTGTGTGAGAGAGAGAGAGAGAGACAGAGATTTGAATAAACACTCTGTGCCAAGCACATTTGTAAAGTACTTTGCCTTTATGAACTCATTTAGTCTTTTCATCAATCCTACAGGGAAGATACCATCATACTCATTTTTAAGATAAGAAAAGTGAATTACAGAGAGGTTACATACCTCCCCTACTATCACACTTGTGGCCAGGTTTGCATTTGAATCTATGCAGTTTGGCTTCAGAATCCAGCTCTTCACACTTTGTTCAGGGCTCGGCTATAGTCACCTACGCAGTGAGGCCTTCTAAGATTCTTCTTCCCACCTAAGCCTCTTTCTCATTAGCCACCTCTGAAACCCTCAAGCAGTCTCCTTCTTAGTATTTAGTATGTCACTGGTGAAGGATACAATGGAGCACAGTTCAATGAAAGTAAATCTGAGAGAATGTAAGGTAATGTGTTCAGGTGAATAGCCTTTTGGTAGTCTAAGTTAATCAAAGAATGGTATTTATTTATTCAAACTATATATGTTCATGATGGGCTTCAGCAGAACACTCATTGAAATATATTGGTGGTTGTTACTTCCCTAGTTATTATCTCTAGATAGCCTGTTGATAGAAATTGAAGAGATCGTGTACTCTGGCAAAAACATGTAGTGTAGGCCTTTGCACATTAAAAAGTCATTTTGATAATAAGGTAATCTCATCCTACTCTGAGCTCTCACAGTCCTTGACAGCTGGAAACTAGCCTAATACTATCAACTTTTAGTTGGTGTTATTGATAGCTGGCCTGGTACTCACAGCCCAGTGTTCTCCACGTGAGCGTGCAAGTTTTCACAGAACACAAGCATCAGGCAAGGCTACTCTGTGACCATGAGGAATCAAGAAAAAAGCAAGACCCTTCTGTAATCCTGTCTGAAAACAGACAAGACCATAAACATTGTCCAATCCACCAAAAAATGACCAAATATCCCCCTATCCTGACTCTATGAGTAATGGCTACTTCTTTACCAACTATTACTTTAGCCTCATTTTGCGCTTCCCTCCTCCTAAATAAGATGTATGAAGAGACGTAATCATAGAATTACCTCTGCTTTCTTCAACATCCCAGGCGGAGCAAACGCCACTTCCTTGAACCCTCTCTCAAATCAACCAACACAGACCCAAAACCTCTGTGTTCGTTCCAAGACTCTTCTGCTGCGCAATCTCATGGTCTCCCTTACTGCTATGAGCAATAACCCAACTTGATCAACTGCAGATATGTATGTCTTTGACTGGAAGACATTAGCATCCTCCTTTTGTCTGTGCCACATCTTCGCTACTCATGCATGCACCTTCCTTCATGTATCTTATTTCCCGATTACATTGCTTCTTGTAGGCACTGAAGTTAACTCTCTGAAAGCTTATGTTGGTGTTCTATGTTCATTAATATCAATGACTGACTTTTCTAATTGACCAAACAGTTCACATTTTCTTTTTCTTCTTTAGGAGCCAACTTCTATTTCAGCAATGGAGCTTTCCACCAAGCAGGTACTATCATTATGTATTACAGTCATTTTGTTAATTTGCTGTTTCAGTTAGATAAACATAGTTATGATTCATCAGATTTTACAGCTTTATTAACAGTAGTCTCCCACCCCAAAAAGAAAGAACATTCTTACAATAAGCTAGTAGAGTGAAAATTAAAGATCCTTTACATTGCCCTCTGTTTTTGACCAATCTGACATTCCTATAAATGTATTTCTTAGATCATTGTTGGTTGTAAATTTTCATTTATAGCATTTCTTTTTTGGGCCATTGTAAAATTTTGCTTAGTAATTATTTTTATCTATCCTTAAAAATAGCATTGGTGTGTATTTGAGAATATAAATAAGTTTATCGTTTAATTTAATTTGCATGAATAAACAATATTTATTTTATAAGCTAATAAAATTTTGCACTGGGCTGTATATGTTTGGAGGATCTTGACTCAAAAGTTAACTTTGCTTTTTCAGTAATATTGTGTACTAGAGAAAACATTTAGCTTGGCTGCGTATTAAAGGAAAACAGCAAAGTAGTCACTGCCAGTGATAAGTTATTAAACTCCATGAATTCAAACGTTAAGGGCAGTGTGTTAATAGGCTTTGCATTCACATTGAATGAATGCTTTGGCAAGACACTTAAGAAACACAAATGACTTCTAAATGTTAAATTATATATACAAAACAAATATAATTTTAACTTTTAATAAGTTATCTTTTCCCCATAAATGTTACATAGCTTTCTATTCAGTGTATCAGTGGTAACTCAAAAAAAAAAAAAAAAAAAACACTTGGATACAGAGTTGAAATTAATTATTAAATAACCTAGAAGAAAAAGCCACAATGGAGTAGGAAGCCCTTCACTGACCATTCCAAAAACTTATATGTAAAATTGTTAAATATGAAAATCATTTGGCTAATCTTATTGCTGAATTGTTTACATGTTTTATCCCTGTACATGACACTAAAATACTGTGCCAGTAAAACTCAGTGTATATCCTTTCCACACTTACATATCAAAATAGATTGATAATCTCTAAGATATTTAGAGAAACTCAGAGTGCAGATATTATTGACCCTGATACTGTTATCTTACACTTCATAAGTATGTGTTCACCTGTTCTTGTAATCTAAAAATTGTCAAATGTTGGCAAGGAAATCCGGGGATTTCCAGAAAGGAAGCTAGACTGGGATATTCTTTCCTTTAATGATTTTTTTAAATTATTTATTTATTCTCTGCTTGGTTTCATTGCCATTCTTAATTATGTTACATACAGTTTTATAAAAAATTTTTTAAGTATTTTTAAGTACTTTAAGAATTGCCTATTAAATGTAGCACATTTCACACACACACACACACACACACACACAGAGAGAAAACACCCAAAATACCAGAAACAGTTCATCAATTTAAAATACCATGATACAAGACAAGTATTCCTAGCCTTCATTTTCTGTTACTGGCAGTTTGATTTCATTTAGATCTGAATCAGTTTTACTCATGCTCATGGAAATTTTAAAAGTGAGGCAGTAGTTTCAAGAGTGTCAAATAGTGTTGCAACTAATTTTCTGGATAAATGGGCTCATCGCCTGCTTATGACCCGAAACTTGTTAAGGAGGATAGTGAGAAAGCCTGTGGTGATGTTAAATTGGGCAGAAAAAGCACATCAGGTTACTTGCTAGGGACTAGATTATGTTCAATGGTGCTTGCAAGCCTCCCCTATATTTTTTCTAGATAGCATAATTAGTTTTGCAATTCTTAGTAGTACTGCAGAATAATTATAAAATGAAAACTAGACTAGTTGTATTTAATTTGGGGCATTTTATCACACTTTTAATTTTGGTTGCCCTATTTTTGGTTTTTAATTCCCATGTTAATTTCTCTGGTTTCCTCCTTAAAGGAATATGACAGATTTAGATACTGTTATTTAGGTAATAACTCCTTCCCAACTAAAATTTCATATTCTTAAAAATTTGTAAGTATGAATTTTGCTTATGCTTCTTAAGTTATCGGCCAGTCCTAGAGATCTTTTGATTTGGTGTGACCAACTTGATCAGTAGTTTTTTAAATAGTTCTGACCACAATACGGGGTTCCACAAGTCCATATTCACCAATGCCAACCATGCTTGTGGATATGGCTACCCCATTTTAACTAATTTGTTTCAGTGTCTCATGTTGGGCACCTGGGTGTCTCAGTTGGTTAAATGTCTGCCTTCAGCTCAGGTCATGATCCTGGGGTGCTGGGATCAAGTCCCACATCAAGGTCCCTGCTCAGCAGGGAGTCTGTTTCTCCCTCTGCCCCTCCCCCTGCTTATGCTGTCTCTCTCCCTCTCTCTCTCTTTGAAAAAGAAACAAAAAAAAATTAAAATTTTAAAAAGATGTCACGTTTATTTCATTTTTTATTGCATTGTGATTGCCTGCCTTCAGTACAAACTAAGCTTTTTTTTTTTTTTTTTAATATGATTTTGAAAGAGAGAAAGGATAGGAAGGGGAAAAAGTTCCTTCCAATAGTTCTTTACTAATATTTTTCAAATCACAGCCAACTTTTACCACATTCTGGTTCTGTGGAAGCTTTAAGAGAAGTACAAATCAACATAATTTTCTCTTGACAGAGAGCTTAACAATACTCATCTTTTCCTCCCAAGGACTCAACTACTGCTTTTTTAAATTTGCCATGGTTTATAGGATCTTTTGGTTCATAATAAAAGATGAATATATTAAGAGATTGAACATCCATAGTACATATTCTGTTTACTACTAAACTAGAATATTGATATAAATAGTCTTTACTACTGAAATGCAATAAGCAATATGAACCAGGGTAATAGTTATCAAGGTAACTGTTTTAATAATGGCTTACTTTTTACTGTATTACATTTTCTCCCTCATTTCCCTTTCTTTTATTAAGGTATGTTAGCTGGTTAGCTTTAAACACAGAATTATTTTGTGTTTAAATACTTTTTATAACCTCATTAATTTCATAGATTCTAATAGATACATCAATCTTCAATTTATGTTTATATATGTAGCTCATCTTTGGGAAAGTAATTTGTAAATGTAATTTTAATTATATCCATTGCTTTCAGACAATTTGTAATATTAAAAGAGCACACCATGTTTCAAATATTAGATTTTCTACAACTTCTTTTTCATTTACATTGTAGAGAAATTAAAATACAATTTTGAAGTCTTTTCCATGTGCACCAATACATGGTTCAGTATTTATTCAACTTTTATTTAAGGCTTACTGTAGTCATTCAGTCCTTTAGTACAAGAAAAGGAGCTATGATACTAATTACAGCAAAATGTGGAGAAATTACAAAACAGTTTTATTTGTATTTTATCTTGTATTTACATGTATTTGCAGTTGCTCAAATGCTACATTGGCTAAACCGTAAAAAGCATTTTTAAAACTGTACTGAAATCCTGGTTTGTTGCTGCCACAAAGTTTCTCCCCCTATATTCTACCTCATTTGGTAACTGCAAATTCATTGAGTATAATGGCATTGTAGAACATTTTATCTGAATGCATACTTTAAAGATCTAGTTAAACATGCTCATTTTGTGACTAAGAAAGTGAAGTCTTAGAAAAATTAGGAGAATGGCTCAAGATGACACAGAGAATTAATACAGGGCAAGATTTAGAATCCAGGTACCTTGATGGTCAACATAGCACTTTTCCACAACAGCCAAGTTTTGTGTTCAAGTCTACTGCACCAGCCAGACTGTACATTTCCCCATTTGATGATCTTTCAGATGAAAAGTAGTTTAGTTTAGAGTAATCTTCCTGAAGGTAGTGCAAGGACAAGACAGTTGATGTTGAGTGAAACTTAAAATGCGAGCACCAAAGCTTTTCTCTGGAGGACTTATAGGAGGGCAGACTATATAACAGGCAATGATACAGGGCACCCATGAGTCAAATGCAAATGTTCCCTGCTTCAAGACCAAGAGAATACATGGCAATATAGATGTGCTGATTAATCAAAATTACAAACAGCAGAGAAGTTAAAAAAAAAAAAAAAAAGAAAGAAAGAAAGCTTTCCAAGAACAAAAACATTGAAGATTTGAAAATTATATTACTCAGTGTCTTCTTTTAAATTTTTATCTTTATTGAGATATAACTGATATATACCCTTGACTGTCTTCCCTTGGTTTTGTATTTTAAAATACACTTGTTTTATCAAATATTTAGATGTTGCTCTTGGTCTTTTTAAATGTTCATATGATCTGCCAGGCTTTTGACAAAATTGCCAATAATGGGATTTTTTTGAACCCACTAGCATAATTTATTTTTGATGTAGAAGTAACCCTTTTTGTTTTGACATAATACTAAACTTTTCCCACAGCAACAACTATATATCGGTTCCACCACGGGGGTTGCTCAGCTCCCGTTACACCGCTGCGATATTTATGGGAAAGCCTGCGCAGAGTGCTGCCTCGCCAGAGACCCTTACTGTGCCTGGGATGGCTCTTCATGCTCTCGCTATTTTCCCACTGCAAAGAGGTAGGAGAAATATCAGAAATAAATACAAATGTTTGCTATTTATCTTACTTGAATCTGTTTTTAAACAACTTTCTTCATATAAGTACATCACCTTTTTCTGATGAATGAAGAGTGGTTTAAAGGGGTTTGGGGGTTTTTTCCTTTCTCTTAAATAGTCGAAACAATCAGAAAAACATGTATAATTATAGTTGGGTACCAAATATAATGAAACAAATGGTTTTAATAAATTGCTGAGGGAAATCTAAAACATTACAGTAACGTCCTTGAATGTTTACACTCGGAAATTACAAAGTTTTCCAACTTCATTTTACACAGGGGGAGAAATGAGGGCCAAAGCCACAGAGAAAGTCAGGAACAGAATCTAAACTGGGCCATGTGCCTTTTGACCAAAATGCTTTTCTCTCCAAAAATACTCTTCTTTTTCTATCCAGCAACATTCTATCCTGGTTTTAAATTTTAATAAGGCAATTTATGTCATTGGATGAATGGAAAATTTGCAAAGAAAGTAATTTATTTACTTTTAGAGTCTTAGATAGTATACAGGGATTCAATTATAAAAAGTCAAGAAAAATATTTGCAATTTTAAAAGATACTACATTTTTTGTATAATGCTGAATAACTAGCATCATATCTTTATTTGATGCAAAATATATATCTATTCGACCTCCCCCAAATTTAAAGACCACGTTATTACCATAGTATCATTTTGTGTTTGTAGTGTTTGAACTTGAAATATAAAACCACATGATGAAATACCTATTTGTTAATCTTTGTATATATTACACAAATATTTTAAGCATATTCATAACACTTAACAGCATCTTTTTTGGACATGCTTAAAAGTTACTAAGATATGCCTAGAAGCTATCTAAAATGATATGTTTAGATAAAACATAGCTATACGTTGCGGTCTAGGAGATTGTGGGCATTAGGAACAGGCATTTGATTATTTGATACAGTACTGTTGAGGAGTACTATTAACCTTCAGTGAACTCTTAGACACATCTTAAAAGTTGTATACAAACTGGTTTACTTATGCTTCAAAAAATAAAAATACTTCATTAATCTGACAAAATATTCACCTCAGCATACTCTCTACAGCAAACATATGGCTACCTTTCTCTGTAGATATTTACTAGTATTTCAGATACAAGCAATGAAAGTAATACACAATATCTTGCTAATATAAACCCAAGATTAACAGTATGCACATCAGCCTTTTGAAACATAAAATAGAAATCAGATTTATCAAGGTCCACTGCATTTTAGGAGCAATAAAATTTGTTTTATTTTTTACTGTAGTTAATGTTTTACAAGAAGCTGTGATGTGGATTTTTTTCATTGCTAGTAAGCTGTGTTCTACATTTGGGGCATTTGACATGTTTTGAAAAAATTCTAGGGGAAAGGAATAACCCTAATATGTACTTAAATCATTTGATTACATACTTCAGATAACATTGGCTGTGTAAAATCGTGTACAACTTAAATTTTTCATATATAATCAGTCCATATAGATTAAAACAGTTATCTTGTTAATATTAAATGTAAGTGTAGTAGTAGCTAATTCCATTTAATAAATGCAATTTCCTTAAGCCTTCAACATTCAGAATTAAAATAACATGTTTATATTTTTTCATAAACCAACAGATTTTGCTAGAAGTTTAAAACTGAAACAAAAGTTTAGTGTGGAAATGGTGTGTTACTGAGTAAAGAAACCATGGATAGTTTAATAAATAGGAATATGCAGTTTTTATAGCAATAAAATTAAATTATTTAAGGTTGAACTTCTGTGGTTCTTAATATCACTCAGATCTAGGTACTTTTAATATTGGAAAACATAAAATTCATGCTTGAATTAAAAATGAGTACCGTTACCTTTCCACGTGAAAGTATATATTACCTAAATTAGCAATAACTCATTCAAATTTTAAGCTTTTTTTAACAAGAAAGAAGATAAAAATGAGATAACTACACCTATAAAAAGTTAAAAACCTGTATATTATATATTTGAAATATGTTTATTGCATACCTACAATTCCAGACTGAAGAAATTATCATTAACACATTTTTGTTGTGCCTTGAAGATTTTACTTAATCCAATTTCATGTGTCTTTGAAAAGTATGTTTAGAGGCAGGCCTCACAATTTATATATTCCCTGTGATGGCTTTTTTCAAAAGCCTAAATGGCGGTAAAAAATGCCTTCCCAAATGCTTTGTGGTTCGTGTTTCACAAGTTCCCTTGTTGGCTCAATTTTGAAATGCGCAACATCTGTTTGATAGTCTCACCAATTCTACAAATAGAAATCTATAAATACTTTAGTCTTCCAAATTTATGAATACAGTAACAATTTCCATGTTTGCAAATCTCAATGGCCTTTGTGAGAGCTCTTTTCAGGGGTGGTAACTAACTTTGCAGCAAGACAATATTAATTAACATTGACACAGAAAACAGTTGCGCAAGTGTCCCCAGTCTTTTTCATTTTGTTATATGTAGCCAATCTCCATTTTTAGCCTCTTTCTCAATCTCCACATCCTGCTTGCACTGAGATAGCTAGAGACAACCTCCTTCCCAGTCAACCACCAACAAAGTAAAGAAAGAAGACACCCAGAATGTGTTGCAACTAATATGATCTGAGCAGCAATATGTAGGAAGAAATCTCTTTAGATTTTTATAGCAAATTTGGCTTTTCTTAGAGGTGAGTCCTCCTTCTCTCATCTTCCTCTGACAGGAGGCAGACTTGCTCCACAATATTTGTTACCGCACTTCTTCTTTTATTCATTTCACAGGTATATCAGTCTGCAGTCATAGCCGTAGGATCATGAAAGAAATGTTTTATTAAAAAAAGGTTGATATAACAACCAAAAAGAAAAATTAAAAAGTAACTTGAAACTAGATTTCATAGGGATGCCTGGGTGGCTCAGTCAGTTAGGTGTCTGCCTTCCACTCAGGTCATGATCCCAGTGTCGTGGGATTGAGTCCTACACTGGGCTCCCTGCTTATCAGGGAGTCTGCTTCTCCCTCTCCCTCTGCTCCTCTCCACCACTCTTGCTCACTCTCTGACAAATAAATAAAATCTTAAAAAAATAGATTTCATAGAATACTTTTAAATTTAGCAAAAGGCTATGTAAGGAATTACGTATAAGTATTAAGAGAAAGAAAACAATCGTCAATTTTAATTTTCAAGCTCATTCTCTCATTAGTGAACAGAAAAAAGTTTAATTCAGATTATTGAAGAAATGGGTTGGTATTCTATATTTTGTGCCTTTTCCTCAGAATTTAAAATGTTAAGAATTTTAGATTTCCTGATGTTAGATTCTTCCTGATTGGCATCCATTTGTACATAAACCATGAGTCTTCTGTTATAACTTTGAAAGACTTTGCTGCATTGTTAGTGCATTTATATATTATTTTCCATTTTGATCACCTGGAGACTTCTCCTACAGGTGTAATGAGCTCCTTTTAAAAAAAAATTCTTTAATCAGATACAGATGCATATCTTCCTGTAAGCTCCTGGTGTCTTTGATTTTTGATTCTTCTTAATTCTTGTGACAAATTTGAAGATGGAATAAGAATGCAGTAATACCTTTTAAATGTAATTGTTTTAGACGCACAAGACGACAAGATATAAGAAATGGAGACCCACTCACTCACTGTTCAGACTTACAACACCACGGTAAGTTACAACATTTTCATCTTTCAACCTGCTAATACCAGGGTAAGTCATAAGCAGTAGTGTGTACCCACACATGTGCATGCGGGGAACACAGCAGTACCAGAATACTTAAAGAAATGCAATTGAAGAGAAAGGAAATCTAGAAGAAAGAAAATTCTAAAGAATACTAAACAGTGAATTTTGCTTTTTTAATTGCAGATATGATAAATCCAAGTTTTAGATCCTCACAATGCTTAAATTTCAATTTTCTCATATTACCAAAAAGAAGCCAGGTTTAAATACATGCTTTCATATGTAGTTAGCAACTTGAGAGCAACGGGCAAGAGAAATATTCATTTAAATATATTAAAGAAGAAAATGTAGCCTTAAAATAAGCCATTCAAATTATTATGGTGATGATGCAGCCCTTTTGTAATGTTATTGGGTATCCTAGTCAAGTAGAAGATAATTCCGCTATCTTCACATTGATTTTCTAGTAGGATATTCCCTTGAACTGGGGATTTGGATTGTTTCATTTTATGCTTCCTTAAAGACATCAAGTTGTAATTAATATCCAGTACTTAATGCTGGAATATCATATCAACCAAACTTCCTTTAAAATGTGGTAAAATTATAGTATATCGCCCCCCCCATTTCAACCCTTTACAAAAACAATAATGAGGTTGTGCTTCCCTCTGCTGGGAAAACATATCAATGACATCACAGCTAATGAACAATTCATAGTTAAAAATAGCTGAAATACAAAATGTAAATATGTTACGTGTAATTGAACATAATTACCTTATTAACTTTTTTGGTGTCTTTTACATTGATCTTAAAAGAAGGTCTAATATTTTTATCAGTTAACTTGGATTTGATGCACTACTTCTGGTATACAATATTCACATTTCATGAATGTTGAGAAAGAAAACATACTGCATAAATAACACCCCAACATGCATTCCAAAACCTAGCTACCTTCTAGAGGTCAGATCCCCCTGTTGTGTATCCTGTACATGCTGGTGTCATCTGATTCATGAATACTCACAGGGCTGTCTGGGGGATGCCAGTAACAGAAGATAGGTACCCACAAATTGAGCCTATATTTGGGGTCCATCTTGCTTGCACAATTTCTTGCCAAGGACTTTACTGTCTTTTATTGTTCTCATTATAAAGAAAAAGGATACCACTAAATTGGAGCAAATGTCATGTTTTTTATGTGTTTGTGCAGGTAGGGTACATTATTGACATATCCTCCTTAAATTTTTCACATGGTGTATTTCAGTTGGACAACCAAACATTAATAGTCTTGCATTAATCTATTTCATGTACAAATATTGAATTATGATCAGCACCGTTAAAGCAGTGCAGTATTATGAATTTGTCATATTAAAGAATCTTTTTGCTTAGGTATGGAGAAGCTAATGATAAAAACTGCAAGTAAAAGAAACAGAACAATAGAATTAGAGCTCATTTCTGATCAGACTTCAATCTCCCTATCAATATAGACTTTGCTATTTTGCTCACTCATATTTCTAGGGTTATAACAGATGCAATTATCTTGAATATTATAGATATTTAATAGTTTTCTTGAATGAATCTAAATATTTGAAGCTACAGCACAGATACGTCCCTTATTGTTTTTGGTTTTCAGTAAAGATTTAGACTAAATAGCATCTATTATTTATTGTGAAAATGACTTAAGTCATACACTGCTATTAACACAACCATATTTAAAAATAGATTTCTTAAGAAACATCACTGACCAATCAATTAACTAATAAAAAATGATTATATACTACTACATGTAGGATACTATGCCATATTTTAAAGATTGCTGGTGAATTACTGTAGATATATCCATTTGTTGAATAATCCAGTTCCTTCATAGACCCACTTGGTATTTTTTGAAAATGATATATATGCTGGAATTATGGACATACATATAATACAAAGAAAAGCTGACCAAAAACATATTTTTAAAAAAGTAAGACTGTGTATAAATAAATGTTGACTGTTGAATGAATGGCTTTTGGAAAGTGCTTCAGATTTTGAAGTTCTGTTTTGATGACGTTAGAGTGATGAAAGCTTTTAAAAATTGAGAATATAGAATTGCTTAAGTATAGAAAGTAAAGTGAACATGAATCACTTTTTCTTTTAATACTTCAGTCAAAATAATATAGGAAAGAAAGGGAATTTCTGTGGTTCAGTGTTCCTGGGTGTGTGTGTGTGTGTGTGTGTGTGTGTAAACAATGCTACCTAGATGCATGTGATATATGGGAAGAAACAGTAAAATAGTCTCAGAAGTTCAGCAGAAATAAAACATTCCCTTTTTGAAGGCTTCTTTATTCCTTATCTGCTTGTATTATTAATTAACCAAACATGAAAACCATATACCATAGATTACGGTAAATTTCAAATGTTTGGAAACTAAGTCAGGCATTCCCACGGGGCCAGGCTGAGTCTTACCATTAGGAACCAGTGAATTACCTTAGAATAGGTGATGTCTATTTTTGAAATAAAATGGGCAAAAACCCAGGGCCCAGTCCTGTGACATCATGTATGTTGTCTTGCTAGTGTCACATCTCACATTGAATAAAATATATGTGCTCATATGGAAACATACAAAGATAGGAGATGTTTTCCCAGAAAACTGCTAAGCAACTTGAAGCCAAGTTATACACTTCAGGACAATCAGTTCCAGCTGTAATGGTAAACATATTCTGTAACACTCTATATTTTACATATCCTGAGGTTTTAATAGAGAGACTATATAAAATAACTCTGCATTAAGGTGGAAGAAATTTCACTCTCGATGAAACCTTTAACACTCACTCAGCTCTTTGCTCCCTCTTGTGTAAAGGCAGCACTAATGGGGAGCGGGCCTAGGTGTCACATAGAAAACTCCAGCTCCACCTTCCCTTAATCTGGCACACTCTTTTCCATCACTAGTGGCTAGTCACCTAGGGAAATTTTAGTATGAAACCCTAAATGTGTATGTGCTGGCAGATCTTCTTGTCTTCTAGCTCACACCTCATACAAAATGCTAAAGAGAAACTTCAGGTTGTTTCCATTATGTTGTTCCCTTCCCTAAAATAACTTATGCACAGAATAGGAGCTTGTCTGACTTTGCCTCCAAGAGCATGACTATTCTCCCTTCTTTACTAAACAAGAATGAGTAGTATTATGATCTCCATGCCCAGAAAGGGACAAACCATATATAACAACGTTTAAAAAGGTTAACATCATCTTGGATTTTTGAATCTTTGAAATATTTTACGTCCTAACTTTAGTTCGGTACCATCATTGAATTTACTTTGTGTTAATTCTCTTGGCTGTTCTACATACATGCATTTCCCTTCTAGCATCGCACAGTAAAACATCCACAGAATTCAGTCTTCTTAATTATCTCTGCAACTGGCTCATCTCAATTTATGTCTCAGTTGGCATCAGCATTGTTCCAGAATTTCATAAAACATCTTGGCAATGTCATCTTTGTGGTCTGCAGAGCTGTAAACTTAGTATTTTGTAGCAATGCTAATCTGCTCTCTGTTTTAGCTTATTTTATACACATAGAAATTCCAAGGGAATCTAAGCATTTAGCCCCAAGAGAGGTCTCAAAACTTGATAGATGAGCATGATGTCAGCCCTAAAAAAAAAAAAAAAACCCTTAACTTTAATAAATTACTAAATTGTATCAAGTCTAAGATGTCACTGAATATAAGATGCACCATTTTTTAAGGACTGCTAAGAAAGAAAAACTCTCCAAGATGGATACTCTAACAGTGATGCCAGCATCAAGCCAGCTTACAGTGTTTCACTATTAGTGAAAAGAAGAAATAAACTCCTATGAAGAAGACAGCAAGGGCATTTGCTTGTTTCACCTATAATCATGGGTGGTAGAAAAGGGGAAAACCACTTCTTAAATCACAGGGTGATACTCAAAACATTTACTTTCTGAATTCACACCAACAGTGTGGACCAAATACCTCAGACAAGACTTTAGTTTAAAGAGGTGTCAGGGGTGCCTGGGTGGCTCAGTGGGTTAAGCCACTCTGCCTTTGGCTCGGGTCATGATCTCAGGGTCCTGGGATCAAGCCCCACATTGGCCTCTCTGCTCAGAAGGGAGCCTCCTCCCCCAACCCCCGCCTGCCTATCTGCCTATTTGTGATCTCTCTCTGTCAAATAAATAAAATCTTAAAAAAAAAATAAAATAAAGAGGTGTCAGGTTAGGAGAGACACATGTATCTGGCCAAAGTGAAAACAAACTCTTTCCAGAAAAAAGCAATTTGAACTCAGGTGAAGAACAGCTCTAAGTTGGGGCGCCTGGGTGGCTCAGTGGGCTAAAGCCTCTGCCTTCGGCTCCGGTCATGATCCCAGGGTCCTGGGATTGCTCAGCAGGGAGCCTGCTTCCCTTCCTCTCTCTCTGCCTGCCTCTCTGCCTGCCTCTCTGCCTACTTGTGATCTCTCTCTCTGTCAAATAAATAAATAAAATCTTAAAAAAAAAGAACAGCTCTAAGACATATTCTATTATCAGAGGTATTAAAATATACAACGTGTATATTCTAGAATGAAATTATTACAGTATCATCTTGTAAATAGGCAAATCCAATTATCCATACTATAGGTGTGTGAGACATGCACACACATACACACCTGAATGAAAAGAGGTTTGAAATATTTTGTACTATCATTGTTCCTTCCTAAACAGTTTTTAAATATGTCATAAGAGATTACCCAACTGTTTATGCACCCATAATTTAACTGTTGTAAGGTTTTTAAAGCATGCTGTATTTTTTAAATTCCAGAAATAAGGGAAACATATTAAAATACAAGATGGTATTTTCATTATTGTTTACGGAAGGTTTCTGCTTCAGTATATGGGTGTTTTCCATCATCTATCATATCTCTTGGGAAGAAGTAAATTAAAGTCCATGTTTCCTGATGTTTAAATGTAAAAATTCCTATGGTAATTTTATTCTGCCGTATATATTATATATGCTTTCTTGGTAAAACATTTG